AATACATGTCTGTCATTGTGATATACATATTGCATACTAAGTATGAAGATCGGGTTTAGCGGCAGATCGAATATAGCGACATTTCGTTTCTCCCGAAGGAGTGTGGTTATATCCGATCTCCACTGTACATGTAATACCATGGCATATGTAAGGTTGACAGGGAAGACATGTTAGTACAATAAAACATGGTAACGGTCTGGTACTTGTGCCACACACAAGGGCATAATACGATAGCGACATCTGCATGTGTGTACAACCACCCACTCAATCTGCAACCCAAGCAAGCCATGTGTGGCAAGAAAATGAGTAACACGCCACATGCCTGCATAACCACACACACACACACACACACACACACACGCGCATACAGACACATCCTCACCCACCACCCCCCCCCCCCCCCCACACACACACTACACACGTGTGCACGCGCACACACACACACACACACACACACACACACACACACACACACACACCTTGACCTTTTTGACCTTTGACGCCCCATCTCCAGTGGAGATGATAGGCTACTGAGTTGGGCAGTACTTGATGTGACGCTTCAAATCGCCACTTCTCCTAAACGCTCTGCCGCATGCGCAATGAAAGTCCTTCGGTGCCGGGGGAGGAAGACGATGTTGATGAACCCGCCTGCGCCATTCCGGGCGATCTTGTGCGAGCCGATACCACTCGGACTCCGGAATATCCAGCGAGCGCAGATCACCGACAATCGTGTCTCGCCAACGCTTCTTTGGCCCATGCCGTGGTCTGGTTGCTTCGAGCTCACCAAACAACACTTGTTGAGGAATCCGGGCCGCGTCCATACGGGCAACATGACCCAGCCAACGCAGACGGTACTCACGCAGGAGAGCGCCAATGTCCTCAGGAAGACGCGCTCTCTGGGCTAGATCAGCAGTATTAAGATGACGGGAGTGCTGATCGCTCCTTGAGACTCCCAAGATGGAACGGACGCATGAGCGATGAAACAGATTCAGGCGATTCATCTGCCGGGCCTTCATGGGCCAAGTCTCTGCTCCATAGAAGAGGGTAGGGAGGACAATGGCCTTGTAGACAAGACGCTTAGACTTAATGGATAGGCCGCTACACCCGAAGATTGGCTTTTGGAGAGCGCCAAAAGCACGAGAGGCCTTGGCAAGACGGGAGGTGAGCTCCTTGTCCAGAGCACCGTCTGCACTCAGGACACTGCCAAGATAGGTAAAGCTGTCCACAACCTCCACGCTTCCTCCATCCTGAAGATCAATGGAAGGTGGCGGGTGAGAGCAGTTCACCGCCATGGCCTTGGTCTTCTGGACGCTCACAGTTAGACCCCAACCCGAAGCACAGGACACAAACTCGTTTGTCATCGTCTCCAGGTGGCTCAAAGAGGTGGTGTAGAGAGCCGCATCATCAGCAAACTGGGACTCTGTGACGTCAGTGGAGGCCAGTCGAGACTTGGCGGTCCGATCCCCAACAAGCTTCCTGCCGACACGGTAGCGGACCCGTACACCCGGAACAGAAGACTGGCGATGCCACGAAGAGACCACTGCAGAGAAATACAGATTAAAGAGCGTAGGCGCCAGTGTGCAGCCCTGACGCAAGCCATTCTGGACGTTGATGCTGTCCGTGACGACGTTAGGGAGCCGAACACGCGCCTCCATGCCTTCATGGAGCGACTGGACAAGGCCAAGCAGCTTCGGAGGAATGCCCAGATTGCGGAGCACAAGCCACAAAGCAGACCGCGGAATTGAATCACACACACACACACACACACACACACACACACACACACACACACACACACACACACACACACATACACACACACATTCACTCGTGCACACACACACACACACACACACACACACACACACACACACACGTACAGGCACGTAACAATAAAGACACGCACAAAGACGCACACAGGCACAAACAGACACAAACAGACACAAACAGACACAAACAGACACAGACACATACACACACACACACATGTGCACATGTCCACAAGTACAAATGCACCCACTGAGTAATTAAACAGCCACAATCCTTACAGAGGCTGCATCCAACAAGGCTTTCTTCAATTTTTTAGGTTTAATAATGGTGTGAGTTTCCTTCGACCGAACCTATACAACAGCACCATCACATGAGCATTGAAGAAAAGAACACAGTGTCCTTGTACGAGTACTGGCCACAACAAATTCACTGTGAAGCAGCATGTGACAAGACAAACTGAGCAGCATGTATTCCGTGAGCAAGAACATAAAATACAGAAGAAACGTTTGCACATCCGCGTTACCACCGGCTATACAATTGTGTTACGAAACAAAACCAGGTTAGGAAGTTTCGCTCGTGCCAGGCCACCATCATGCCTGATTATACCCGGGTGGTGGGTGGAGCAATACTTCGAAGTAGGTTTTAATTAAAGCAAAATCTGCGGCAACACTTTTTGACTTATTGTGCGGTAATGCAGCACAGATAGCATGCTTCAAACAAAACAACACACAACAATGTACCACCCTGCAGCCTACCTCAAACAACACATCGACAAAACAATGCAACGCCTGAAGCACGTCTAAAGACAAAACAACGAAGCGGCAATACAACACCGAAGCACATGTGGCATGCCTCAGACAAGACATTAACACAACTACTACGGTATTCACAGAGGTTTAAAGCGCTGCTGGCATTTTTTGACCAAACGCCGGAAACACTCGAACCATGATTAGATGGCACATAGATGGCACATCAGCCCTGACATCAGCCCCGACAGTGCAACACCAAAAGTGAGCAGTGGAGAACAGGGTAAGTACAGCCATGGATCCCCCCCCCCCCAAGATACCCACCCACCCACCATAAAGTTATGCTCTATGTAGCACAGTGGTCTGGACATCAGGCCACAGAACCGAAGTACATGTACATGTACTGTTTTGACATACTCTAGTAAACACCTGGAAACTGAGGACACCTTTCGGCAGTCTCCTCCTTTGAGATACATTGTACAATATTGGCACACTTGAACCTCCCGGGAGGAGACACCTTTAAAACCCTTCACACATGTATCGTGTGCCGGGTACTGCGAGCTCGATATTGTGCAACCATAGTGTGCACACTATGTCCGACATCCAGACCCCCGCTGCACATCCACCCCATGACCATACGGCTAGATCCCAACTGCAGTCAATCCCTGCATAGAAGTATCCCATGATGTTGATCACGTTTCCACTGTGTACATGCCATGCACACACTTTCTACATAGATACAGTCAGATGTGAGCGCACACTGTAGGCCTACAGTAGCACTATAGTATAGTATAATAGATATACAGGTGAAATCCGGATAATTCGAACCTCCAAATGCCAGGAAAAAACTTCTAATTATCCGGACATTCTAATTATCCAAACATGAACCCACAACACAATATGTATGTCAAAATGCTCCCATGGTCACGCAGAGTTGCGCTATGGACCTTAGACACAGATTTCACGGATACTGAACTAACCAGCACAGCCTGCTCATGCAAACTGAACTGACCAGTACAGTGGACAATTAACTTCGAATTACACTTTGCTAACTTCGAATTATCAGCACAAATCCCACACATTTTCTATGTAAGCGGAATCCGTGGAACTTCGAATTAATCGGACATGTCCAGTTCGAGGTTCGAATTATCAAAAAATTTATGTGGGAATCGTATTGACAGAAATCGGTCCTGGAAAAACTTCTAATTAAGCGGTATGTTCGAATTAAGCCATATTCGAATTATCAGGATTCCACCTGTATATATATATCCCTACCTGTGCTTCTCCAACACTTTCTCCAGAATCCATAAACAGACGTCCTTCAACGGACTGAGAGGACTGCAGTACCTGGATTGAGAGAGAGAGAGAGAGAGAGAGAGAGAGAGAGAGAGAGAGAGAGAGAGAGAGAGAGAGAGAGAGAGAGAGAGAGAGAGAGAGAGAGAGAGAGAGAGAGAGAGAGAGAGAGAGAAAGAGAGAGCATAAATACAGTAGGACAGCTCTATTTAGTACGGACATGCTGGTGCTGGCAAGCAGGCTTAGCTGTCATCTACACAGTACAGGGACGTGTATCCTCATCGCAGAATGCACTACACCTTGATATGGGGACACTTCAGCATTAGCAACCTCCGGGGGACATACCAACGCTGTGCTCTCTAGTCGAGGTACATGCACTCTTTATCTAAAATCAAACAACTGGAAAAGGATACTCAGACGCAGAGTGCTAAACAAAGTACTTTATACCCAGACGCAGAGTCCTAAAAAAGTACTTTATACCCGATGCAAATAGAAAAGAGTATGCTATATCCAGAGTACTATATACCGAACTGTTGTCAGTGTCAATACAGTACCAATCAGCAGTGACCTAACGTGTCCTGAATGTGGAGATGGCCTCGATTGAGAGGTGACCGCTGACGGACGGGTTCACTGTACACCATGATGGCTTTCCGTCACAACTTCTAGAAATGAACAGTTGACACTATTGAAGTCCAGACTCTGAATGACAAGGGATCATAAGAAAGAGGTGCTGTGCAGAAGTGCAACAGCTTTCCATCGAGACTGCTGGCCAATGGTCAACTGACAGAATTCACTTCAGGGTTGGTACATGTATTTGCGATAAATTAGCCAGAAAAATGCCAGCGATGTGACGCTTTGTCAAGGGCGCATTTTAAGTATTTCTGTGTCAATTCCAGTCATGCTAACGTGCCACTGCTGACACATTTGTCACACAACAGCATCACTGTTGTCACACCACCAGTCTACGACATCACTACTGTCACACTACGGCATCACTGTTGTCACACTACGACATCACTGCTGTCACAGTGATACACTACGGGTCAACATCACTGTTGTCACACTATGACATCACTGTTGTCACACTATGACATCGCTGTTGTCACACTATGATATCACTGTTATCACATTACGACATCACTACTGTCACACTACCACATCACTGCTGTCACACTACATGTATGGACATTACTGTTACACACCTAAAAGTAAGTACAGATCGACATGAAACCAGCATTCAGTGTTTGCAGAGTGGTGGCAATCAGCTCAAATACTCTCCTAATTTCACACCCAGTGGACCGAGTGACTACATGTACATGTATATACATACTGTACGCCACGTAGCACTTCTAGCACAGTCAGTACAGCCAGTGCAGTCAGTGCAGTGTACAGCAGTGCAGCATCGGGATCAGGATGGTGGCAACTGGACAGCAGTTGAACATCGCCAACCTCTAACACCACCATTACTGCATTAGTGATGTGATGCTCACAGTACGACTGTGATTAATCATGACCACATCCACACGTACAGTCAGAGCTGCTCAATGGAAAACGTGAGTGAGAGTCAAGTTGGTACGTGCCACGCGTTGCGCTGACCCAAACCTGTGAACACTGGACACTGGGCTGAGCACTGGTGCTGTATACTGGTGCTGTATACCTGGTACACTGGTGCTGAACACTGGGCTGTGCACTGGTGCAGGGCGCTAACTTGACTCACACCATGATGGGATTTCATTGAGCAGCACTGCAGATGCACCGTGTGCAGTAGTAGTACAGTCATATCCATTGTACCGATGGAGCAAATACATAGCATTCTACTTTGCTGTGCATTCACATGCAACGTGTCAGGCTGCTAGATGCACACAATACAGACACATACACACGGGTACACGTGCAGGAGTATATGCACCAAGGCAAGGAAGAATGGAATACGGTAGATGAGAATGACGATGAGAGATCTGAGTACGACGCTGACTTCTCTATGTCCGAGGTAACGGATGTACTTCAGTCGATGGCATTCTCCAAGGCAGGGGGGCCTGATGGAGTCGCAATGCAGGTTCTCTAGCATCTCACGGACTCAGCCATCCAGAGTTGACACGCATCATCAACATGACTTGGAAGTCGGGAATGTGCCCCCTCCTCTGGAAGTCCAGCCGGCTGGTTCATATTCCAAAGTCAAAACCCGGAGCTTTCACCAATACCGTCCCATCAGCGTAACAAATGCATTTGCCAGAGTTGCAGACCGACTGGTCACCAGGTGGCTAACTCACTTCCTAGAATGCTTCCAGGCTATTCCAGGTGAACACAAGCTGGGTTCCGGACTGCAATGAGTGCCGAGATGCAATGTTGCTCCTTCGTTGAGGGGATCTCTCTACGTCAACAGGCTGATGATAGTGTCAACTGCATGTTTCCGGATGCCTCAGCAGCATATGACAACGTGCACCATGACATTCTCATGGCCAGACTTGGAGCATTGGACCCGCCTGCCAGGCTCACAAAGTGGACCAATTCATTCTTTCGCAGCAGAGAAGTAGACACCAAGTGGGGTCTACAGTGAGCAAAAAGAGATCCGCCCAACGTGGCGCCCGCAAGGCTCCTCGATGTCTCCAGTCCTTTAGGTACTCTATATGGCGCCAATCTTCGATGATCTAAAGCTGCCTAGCCTAGCAAAGCATCGTGCGGACTTTACGCCTTTCTGGTATGCGCACGACATCGCTATTGCTGTCTCTAGCCGGCTGGTCAATGCTCTCCAATCTGTCACACAGGATTTATTGAACCATGTTGCCGACTTCTGCCGGCGCAGCTGTATCACCCTGAACGCCTCTAAATCTGTGCAGGTTATGATATCGACTTCTTATACCATCCGCTGCGTTGCCATCCCGCAGACCCTGAACGGTACAACCATCCCATCAGCTGATTCAGCTCGCTTCCTTGGAATACTGGTCAACTCAACTATGAGCTTTAAGGAGCAGTGCACATTGAGCAACGCCTTCGCATTGTGCAAGCTACGAGTGGTCATAGCTGGGGTCTCACCCAGCAAAACACCACTTGGCTTGTGAACCAGTACGTGCTATCTTCTGGTTTGTATGGAGCACCAGCACACTGTGGTCTTGCCACTAAGCAAGGCCTGCATCCTCTTGATGTTGCCTACAACAGCTACCTCCGCCTCTCCACTGGTTGCACGAAGACAACACCTATTCACCGACTGTGCGAAGTAGCTGGTCCATCAACTATCCAGCTGAAAGTTGAGTGCCAGGCAGCTTGCATCGCTAATATTGCGAAGCGACATAGTGTCCCTACTCCAGCTAATGCCCTGTTGCAATCAGCATATCCTGTTCGAATCCGTGAAACCGGAGAGAAATGGAGGCAAATGGCAGAGCGGCATCTTCCACCATCCCCTGCACCTCTCTCATCCCGTCCTCCACCCCTGGTCCTCCATTCCGAACCTATCCGTTTTCAAGTCTGCTTGCACCCGGTCTGACCCTCCTAATGTGCGGCTTGTGCAGGCACTGGCACGTCTTGAAGAAGCCCATCGCTCCTCTTGTTCCTTGTGGCGTCTAAACATTGGGACAGATGGAAGTGTCTCCGACACCAATGCTGGTGGAGGTGGTTTTCCTGTCATGACAGTCACTGAAATCCAGCGGTCAGAGATACTGTCTGGGAGTCTACCAGCTGGAGCTGTTGCAACATCCTTCACTGCATGCAGAAGTAGCCGGAGCAACAGCTGGCCTGAGGGCAGTCTACGACCTTACTACCACGGAGACGGACGTTGTGCTGGTCACTGACAGCCTCTCTCACGTAGATGCACTCCGCGGAGACCCGTACAGGATCAGCCCAGACGCCATCCCTGTGTTCGATGCCCTGACAGACGGGTTGCTCGGAAGGCTCATTCCACCAACCTTGTCTGCATCAGCAGCCACCATGGCCACTGCAGTGTTGCTCTCAATGACAAGGCGGATTGCCTTGCCCGGCATGGAACACAGCGTGTACAGGCCCAGGTCCAGCTGCCTATCCAAGCCGCCAAGGCTTCAATTCGACTGCAACCGCTTACCCCCGGCCATTGCTCAACACCAGCAAGTTCCGCAGCACTCCGTCCCGGCATGAGACCACCATCCTCAATCAGCTCCTCACTGGCCACTGCAGCCTGCTGAACAAGCACCTGTTCCAGATTGCCGCTGCACCCTCACAATCGGGCCGATTGCGCGCACCGTCCCGGAACAGTTGAGGATGCTGTCCACCTACTGCTAGGTTGCCCTGCCAGACACACCAGTCGAGCAGCTACAAGTCTAGGTAACGGTACCTTCACATCAGCCAGGGAGGCAATTCTCACAAACCGTCGGAAGCTATCCAGTTCTTACAACACGCAAAACTGATCTACTTCGAAGTAAGTTTCAACTACATGTACACTGTGTTTTCACTGTCACTTAAAAAATCCGACTCACTTTCATAATTATTATGATTTGTAGCTACCGAAGTAGAAAAAGAAGAAGAAATGTATGTTGTGCGTGCGTGTGGTGTGTGCGCGTCTGTGTGTGAGTGTGTGGTGTGTGCGCGTCTGTGTGTGCATGTGTGTCAGTGTGTGCACGTGTATGTGTGTGCACGTGTGCGTGTGTATGTGTGTGCACGTGTGCGTGTGTATGTGTGTGTGTGTGTGTGTGCGCGTGTGTGCGGCTTTACAACAAACAAGATACAAGTGTGCTGTATACTGATGATGGTTTCACTTGCTAATTCTGCTACGTTCGCGCAAGGCTATCAAAATTCGCTCTTTCCAAATAGGCAGCAATCCTGTTTCTCAACGCAATTGTATAGCCCGTGGTAACGCGCACGTGCGAACTTTACTTTTTTTTAATCCTGCTTTTACAAAAATTAATGATACTTTCTTGTGGTCAAAGAAAACTGAAAACGGAAAACTTACCCCATTTGGATTTTGGACAGTAGAAGGCCCTATCCTCCTTTGATAGCTACGATAGCATAGCACGATGGTTGAAATGATTACCAACAACACCAGTAGCTGTTTGCCACTGAAGCGCCCCATTGTCCACCCTTCACTCTTCACATCAAAAGAGAAGAACGAGAATTCGATCGAGTCAACGTCAAGTGTATTGGATGCACGTCCCATCAAAACTCAAAATAAAAGTGCAAGCCAGACATATCGACAAAATGCAGTTCTATCTGACGTAGATACAGTAGTCTACTGACTGACGTACAAAAGGAGTGTAGTCTACACTCACCCGCCGGCCGGGTAGTGAGGCACGTGCATATCTACCCGCACCAGTGCACCTCGTGTGTGCACCGGTGATCACTGGTGATCGAGTGCGAGTGGAACAATACGTGAAAATAGAGCAAAATAGATCCCCATATCCATAAAAGAAGCCACCAGATTTACCTTGCCTACTTGTACAAGTAAATTAGTTAGTTACATGTAGTTGTGGTTCTTGATCTGAACGTCTTGCACAATGGTTTCGTAGTCGTAACCACTATTGTAAAGCTGGCTCATCAATCCCCAGAAAACGGTGTACTTCAACGTCAAGAATACTTCCTCCAAGGCGTAGAGCTGCCATACCACAGTCACAGACAAGCAATAAGTCAGTGTAAGTAAGACTAGTAAGACTAGAGTCAAGTAAGACGTGGTGCACACGTACAGTTCCACTACTAGTATGACCAAGAGTATGTAACTAGTAAGGGGCTAAGTAGTAGTAGTAAGGGGCTATATACTCTTGGTATGACTTGAAGTCATATCCAAGATGATAATCACCGTGCACGTACATCTAGTTCAGCCAATAATATGCAGAAGTACATGTACACGCAGAGGTACATAAGGCCAAGTAAAAAAAAAAGCTAGATGATCGTCCCCGTCCGCCCCAGTTTTTGTCAGCGCCCCAAGAAATATTTTATTTTTTAAATCGTGAGTTTTACTATATGGACCACATACTACTAGTAGTAGCTGAAGAAAGAAAAAGAAAAACAGAAAAAAAAAGAAAAAAAGAGAAAAAAAACCTTGATGTTGTTGTGTACACTGTGTGCATGAGAGGGTAAAAAGTAAAAAAATAAAAATAAAATCCTCCCGCCCTCCCCGATTTTTCCAAAAAAAAGGACGATCATCTAGTAATTTTTTTTACTCGGCCTAATACTGTAGATTTACACTGTATGCTGTGGAACAGAGAGATTCCAACTAAACCAAGTGAGAGAAGGCTAGAGCTGTGTTCACAGTTGGCGCGTGGGCACGGTACGCTTGCGATTCATGCGGGCCCAAACGAGCATTCAGGCTTTCACAAAAAACAGCAATTTGAGTCGTAATTAGAGCGTGCGACGCCTTCGAGTACTAATGTTTGACCCTGTCAATCAAAGTGACTGGCATGTACTCTGGTACGCGCCTGATACGCTCTGAAAATTCCAACATGTTGGAATTTCTATTTCAGCGTGTTTCCATGCGCATGACGACCCAAAAGCCAGCAAAAATCTGCACGAACGCGTAGTTTCACTCGTACACGTGCCAGTTGTGAACACAGCAAAGAGTCAAATTCAAAACTGCAAGTTTTTCTATTAAAAAGCAATGCTCATATACTAGTACCGTAAAATCCCGCCAGAGCGCCCCGTCTCTCCCATCCGCCCCTCCCTGACTTCTTGTCAGGGACGTGATTGATTGTATCCTCGTATGACTCTGTCACAGTCTGCGATGCCGTACTGTACTGCAGATGCATGCTCAACCCCGTTGGAAATGTACGCAACAATGCCCACCCTCTTGACCAGGGATCGCACAAACCCTTGAGTTTTGATGGGTCTGTACGACTCCTGGCTCTTGACCTTTGGTCGGTGTACGAGATGCACGAACAGTTTTCGCAGGGTAAGCACTTTTTCATGTAGTACTGAATGCGGCAAGTAGGACTCGCCCATCCGCCCCTCCCCACCTGAAGCGTCGAGTAGGTAGGGGCGCTCTGGCGGGATTTTACGGTACTAGTATGTGCAAGATTTAATTAAATATGGTGCTCGGCATGTCTTCTGTTCTTCTTGTAATCGAGCACTGAGCACCGCCGCGTACGGTAGTCGCTGTATCCGGTGCAGTTTCTGTGTAGAACTGTACGTGCATGGAAAAACGGTCGTTAAGAGCAGGTGGTCGCTAAAGCCAGGGGTCGCTTACACCAGGTGTTACTGTACCTACAAAGGAGGCAAAACAGGTAATTGTGTTAGGTGTACTTTGTGTTAGGTGTACTTTGTGTTAGGTGTACTTTGTGACCAGTGCAACAAACTGGAAACACACCGAGATAACACAAACAAAAAAGCATGGAGAAAAAGCGTATCCACAAACACGTAATAATATACAATGTACATTGTGCACACCAGGGAGTACTAAAAAACTTAGAACTCCCTGGTGCACACTGCTAAAATACTAGCTCAAGCTATGGAACTACTCGAGTATTACAATAAAATGGTAAGTAAAAAAATGCCACACGTGCGTGTGTCCACACTTGGTCCATTTTAGACTAACTCATCAAATATAATATTTCATGATAGATGTTCTGGTAAGAGAAAGAAGAGAGAGGAACAGGTGGTATTATTTATGGCAATATACTTCAAATGATGGTCCCTGACGACTGTGTGAGACTGAAAGATGAAAAGAAAGCCAAGGCTGAGAGAGCAAGCAGGAAAATTTAAAAAGAGTGAAGAAAATGAGTGGCTAATTGTGCCAGCAATTGCCACGAAACCCGCATAGGAGTACACCACTATGTGCTATAATCACAAAATCAATGACAAGCTCCATGCTAATTGCACATCGCCGGTATAGCCATGTACTACAGCACTGGTGGCAGTCTCAGGAGCCTAGCTAAATGTCAATCAAACCTCACTCACTGCAAGTGGTCTAGGGCCGCCGTCGGGCAATACTTGCCCCCGCCCCAGCCGAGCTGCGCTTCTGCTGTGCTCCACCAGCCTCCGTATCTAGACCTTGCCGTCGTCTTGTCTTGCCCTCACCTGCCGCAACAGCACTTTGTCTGGGCCTGGCAGCAGCATCGCCCTGCTGCTCAGCACCACCATTCAGCAACGCAGCCTGCTTGTTCTTTAGCTTCAGCTTGATAGCATCTAGTTGGGCATTCAGGTTCTTCAAACGATCACCAGAAACACCTAGTCCTGCAGCCGCAGCAGGATGTGCTTGCTGCTGAGATAGTCCTCCAAGTGACGACATCTTCTTTGCCAACGCCGCAACTGCCAGCTGCCAGTTGTCAGAGTGCTGAGCCCTTTCAGGTGCTTGAGGGCGTTTCTGTTGCTGCTGCTGTTTCTGAACGTCATTATTCTTCTGTTGAACAGGCTGCTTGACATCAGCAGACCTGACCGGCAGGTTGAACTCTCTGTCGAATGCACCCTTGACCGGGAATGGATGAGCCTCTGTGTTGAAGACCCACTTGTCCAGTGGCAGCACATCATCATCAGTAAATATCAGATAGAGATACTTGAGTGTTTCCGCCAAGAAGAACGATTGCTGCATTCCACTGTTGGGATGTGGCGGCACCTGGTCGACATTGGCCAAGTCAGTGTAGCCACCGTCCACGCGGCAGTACTTTTCAATCGCCTACATACATATATCGACACCCATGCACAGACACACAGACACACACACACACGCACACGCACACACACACACACACACACACACACACACACACACAGCCAGCAGGAATCAGTACTGTACACATTTACACTAGCCAAACATCACCGGAGCAGGATAGTACTAGTAGATAGGCCACTCGCTACCCAGTTCGTTGGTTGAAACAGCATTATTACAGTGGTGCTAGCTGACAACCAACCCCTGACATTATTACAGTGGTGCTAGCTGAAAACCAACCCCTGACATTATTACAGTGGTGCTAGCTGAAAACCAACCCCTGACATTATTACAGTGGTACTAGCTGAAACCCAACCCCTGACATTATTACAGTGGTGCTAGCTGAAAACCAACCCCTGACATTATTACAGTGGTACTAGCTGAAAACCAACCCCTGACATTATTACAGTGGTGCTAGCTGAAAACCAACCCCTGACATTATTACAGTGGTGCTAGCTGAAAACCAACCCCTGACATTATTACAGTGGTACTAGCTGAAAACCAACCCCTGACATTATTACAGTGGTACTAGCTGAAAACCAACCCCTGACATTATTACAGTGGTGCTAGCTGAAAACCAACCCCTGACATTATTACAGTGGTGCTAGCTGAAAACCAACCCCTGACATTATTACAGTGGTGCTAGCTGAAAACCAACCCCTGACATTATTACAGTGGTGCTAGCTGAAAACCAACCCCTGACATTATTACAGTGGTGCTAGCTGAAAACCAACCCCTGACATTATTACAGTGGTACTAGCTGAAAACCAACCCCTGACATTATTACAGTGGTACTAGCTGAAAACCAACCCCTGACATTATTACAGTGGTGCTAGCTGAAAACCAACCCCTGACATTATTACAGTGGTGCTAGCTGAAAACCAACCCCTGACATTATTACAGTGGTGCTAGCTGAAAACCAACCCCTGGAACTCACTCGCCTTGCGTTTGTACTACAATGTCTTCGTGGACAATGGTCACAATACCGGTACATTTATACCCTACTGGCACCACTTATGAACAAATAAATTTGACCCATACGCACGCCTTTTAGTGCCATGTTTCCGTGATTGTGGGGGTAAGTTTGTGCATGCATTGTACATGTATGCAAGGTAGCAGCATGAACAATCTGTAAAGCGGAGATTCAGGGTTGGGTTGACATGCGACTTGCGACAGCGACACACGGTTCACAATATTTTTGTTTGCCATCCCTATGCACTAGCAGTACTATGCACGTGCACCCAGGGTAGAAACTGTACTGTATCTGTGTATGACGCGCGTCGAATGTCGCAAAAGTAACTTTCTTCAATTTCTGCGACAGGTGCCTTGCGACAGCTCGCGACAGGCATGTTCTTGTCGCAAATCGCGAGTCGCGTCGTAAAATGAAGTACAGGTCCTCCCTCGTTATAACGAGTCCGGTTATTACATAAACCCCGTTAGTAAATAGAAATCTGAAATCCCCTGGCGAAACGTGGTCTATACAACTGTTTGCAGGTCCTGTTACAACATAATTCGTTAGTACATAAAATTCGTTATAACGACCCTTTGCCAAGGTCCCTGGAGTGCCAAACCCTCAGTATAAGATAATAATGACTATGCAGGATGAAGACCACAACACATAGGATAAAGCACAAAGGCACAATGTATTATATCTATGTATTCGTTGATATGTACGATCTTTTGCATCCAAGGAAGAGCTATGTTGGAGTTGTTTAATTATCTTATAATGAGTTGCAAGCGTCGATAATTTATGTTGTATTGAGGGTAGCCCCGTTGAGTACGAATTAGTGCCTATTTCACCTTCAGCTGCAAGTCCTGTTAAAGATAAGTCTCGTTACAAGATAACTTTCTCGATGGCCCAGAGATTATCTACTAACGAGGGAGGACCTGTATTGTGAATCGGCCTTTAGCCTACTCAAAATCAACTGATGCAGGGTGAATTCCACAAGAACACTGTGTATCGCGCATGGAGTGGTGCTTTCTTGCAGGTTTGCCAAGTGGAAGGTTTGATGGACATTTCCTCTGCTCTGGATGACAGACGTGAATCATTGAGGGGTCAACTAAAGTACAAGCTCCCATGTACGGAGCAAAACACAATGCCTCTACTATCGCTCAACTGTCACTCTTTGTTTCGTACTGGTGTAGACTACATGTTTTCACAGTGACAGCGTGAATATGGTGTAGACTTAGTTGTGTGAACATAGCACGTGCACAAGCTACATGTATGTACTTCCCACCACTTTGCCTGTGTATGGTAGCAACACCACACTATGCAGCATGCAGGTCAAACCAGGTCACTAGTACTTTTCCAACTACATGCATCAGTGCGCCAGCATATTTAGTCTTTACATGCAATGCAGTTTTTTTTCAGACAATACCAAGCAATCATCAAATCCCCTACAATGCTATCCAGCTGCGCAAAACAGCCAGCTGCATACCTGTGCAGCCTCCCAGGCCCATTGACGATACTTGGGATCCTTGGTAGTTCTCCACAGTACAAAGTAGCTCTCCACCACCTCTGGCCGTAGCAAGTACACAGGGCTGGAAAGAGAGAAAATTCGATTCTGCCCAGCATCGCCGTTCATGAACATTCCCTCATCAGGACCAATCTTGGTAGCTGGACAACAATAGTAGCAGAGATTGAAAACAAATTTATTGAAAAACATCACAGGCGGACGAACATGAACTAAGGCAAGCGTGCGGGTACAACTAAAACACACAGTCGCTTTGGCTCACACTAAAGTAGATATCACGTTGACTTGGATTGATTGCCGGCATGTGCATGCCAGTGTGTACTAGGACACACACGCACTTCGACGCAAGTGCAAGTTTGGCAAGGAATGGGGAGATGACAAACAAGGAAGAAGGATGGTGTAAAACGGTACTACATGTAAAAAAATAAGTAAAGATGTATTCGTGTAAAACAGCAGTTCCGGGTTAGAGAAGAATACTACCGGTACTAGCGCATGCTACTGCGTACTGTTTCCATGCTTGTCGCCTTCACTGGGAGCTCTCAGCGAAAGCCAGTAAAGCATAGCAGAAAACGGAATGCACCCCAGGGTTGTACTTGTCGTACTTTTCAAAATCCTCGTCGAGAGATAAAAAAAATAAAAAGAGTATCACCATACCATGGAAGTGCATGGATTTGTAGTAAAGGTGTTGAGGTGGCACCGTACCCCAACTTCTAGTAGCCAAGTTGCAGCAGCAGCAGGGGCTCACACAGGCATGGAAATGCTTCTGAAGTACCTGCCTTTGTATAGAATCATAGAATGACAAAACTGGGAGAGTTCCTTATCTCTCTTACCCGTCTTGTCGTACATCTCATGGCAAGCCTCGGTGATGTCCTTGCCCAACTGCAGTGTCATGTCGGGCTGGCTACCGTGCTTGGCTCCCAGTGCAAACATACCACCGCTGAAGCAGGCCTGCCATGTGCATGTACACAACAACAACAACAACAACAACAACAACAACAACAACAACACACACACACACACACGAGTTGAAACCCTGCAATTCTGTACGAAATCGCATATGCATAAGTCGGAGTCACCCCAATTCAAGTTCCAATGACCAGCACGGAAAACAAACCCACACCACCACTTACCAGATGACCCATGCGAGCATCCAAGTAACCACCTCCACCGGACGTGCGGCCAAGGTACCGGTACGTCTTTCCATTCTTTGTCACCTTACCCATCATCTTCGAGTCAACACTCTGCAGCAATTATAATAATAAGACACAAAAAAAGAACAAAAACCAAGGTTGCGGCGGTGTTGTAACTCTGAGTTCAGTGTACATAGTGAAATAATCATCAGCCAGCATGGGGATAGTGTTGATCACGCTGCTACACATGTACATTGTATGTACAGTCAAATCTGCCGTTAGCAACCTCTGCTGTAGGCGACCATCTACCGTTAGCGACCGATTTTCCGTGCACTGACGGTTTCACATACAAATTGATCTGTCCAGAGCGACCATCTGCTGTGCGCGACCAGCGACCGCGATTTCATGCACGGTGGCTTCATTCAAATCTGCTGTAAGCGACCGCGACCCACGTTCAGTCAGGTGCGAAACTGTACTTGCCAGTGTGCTGTCAACTGCAAGGTGTGAAAATGCGCTGTCTTGCAAGTGCGCCCCTATATTCTATTGAATATCCAATAAAATGATATCAAAAATCACATTATTCTCGTCGATTTGAGTACATGGAAGCATAGTTATATGCATGCCCGGTATGCCGGATTTACCATACATCTGCCGTAAGAGACCGCTTTTTCTTGCACCAAGGGGCGGTCGCTTACGACAGATTTGACTGTACAAGAAAAAGTACACATTCAGACATTCAGCATTACAGTGCAATGGCATGACGAGCACATACACTTTTAGGGTTTCTTACAACTTTCTTTTCAACTTGAAATGCTATTGATACCGCCGTGTTTGCCAAAAAAGGAACAGCTCTGCCAGCACAATGCCACCCACCTTGGCCAAATCATTGAAAAGACGCAGAGCACGCTTGTCGGTTCGGCCACTCTGCACATAGGACTTGATCAGATACTCGTAATAGCTATCACTTCCTCCATCCAACGATAGCTCGGCTGTGCATGGTGCGCATGGAGAGAGAGAGAGAGAGAGAGAGAGAGAGAGAGAGAGAGAGAGAGAGAGAGAGAGAGAGAGAGAGAGAGAGAGAGAGAGAGAGAGAGAGAGAGAGAGAGAGAGAGAGAGAGAGAGAGAGAGAGAGAGAGAGAGAGAGAGAGAGAGAGAGAGGTACAAAGGTGCATTCAACATGATGAGTCTTCTGTTCTGGACGACTAACCACCACCACAAGAAAATCAGCAGGGGGCAGGTACTGACTGATCATACAGGCACTATCAAGAGTTCGTGTACAGTGATGCATCATTCTTGACCGTGATGGGCAAAATTCGTGCACTACGTCAATGTGACCATGGGATGCACAATATGATGTGAAAACACATGCTGTCTGGACTGTGAGGGCTACATGTCTGTGCTCCAAGTCTCTTTGTCTTGCTGTGCCATACACACTTACATCTACACGGTGTGCCACTGTCTGTGTTAATCTCCGCTGAGATTACACCGGGCAAGCCTGTCATGCTGGGAGAGGAGAGAGCATCGCGCACTTTTTGAACCTACCAATAGCAAACAAGAAAAATGCACCATGCGTTCAGATTGGATACATCTTGGGTGCGAGAGGGCCAAAAGAAGGAGATGAGGGGGGGGGGGGGGGGGGGGGGGGAGAGAGAAAGAGAGTGCTGAAAATCCATGTGCATACGTCCTGGCTACATACATGTGCATCTTGTTTCAAATGCTCATATCAAAGCACACAAGGTTGGACAGGGCGCCCATACTACTACTCGTACATGTATCACCTTCGCAAACGCAGCAAATTTACAGTGTAGGTGCTACTATTTACCTGATTGAGGTAGCGGTTGTCGCCAGTGATGGTGCTGAGGTACGCAAACTCCAAGTGCAGCGTACCGGGCTCGGCCACAACAAAACATGGCCCACTGTGATCACTTCCTTGAGAGTAGCTGCAATGGGGAGGGAGAGAGAGAGAGAGAGAGAGAGAGAGAGAGAGAGAGAGAGAGAGAGAGAGAGAGAGAGAGAGAGAGAGAGCACGTTTCTAACGATATGGGCATGTTGATAATGTTTTCACAATACACTACCATTATGAAAAACAACCACAACAACAACAACACAAGACCAAAGGCATGTGCAAAAATTCATAATAACAGCTGTACTGTTTTAACAGCTCTACTCAATGAATCCATTACAGAAAGTTTGACCTTTTTAATTTGATTCCAGTCCAGTGAAACCTGTCTAAGGCGACTGCTCAAGGTACTTTCAAATTGTGGTCTCTGTAACCAGGTGGTCTCCTTATCCAGTGGCATTTGACTGGAAATAGCATCCCTTGGTCCTGGCTGCAGTTGGTCTTCTGGGACAGGTGGTCGCCTTACCCGAGTGATCGCCTTGACAGGTTTCACTGTACATGTATTGTGTAGAGAGTAGAGCATCAGACAATGTCCCTTACCCGTTGAGTACAATCCAGTTATGAGCTAAGCCAGAAGAGCGGAACGCAGGCATGAAGCGGTCCACCAAGTCCTTGGCCTTCTCTTTGTACAGCTACATGGCAAGAGAACAAGGCGAACAGTGACGGAGGTGCGGCTACATGTACAGACGGATTCCGCTGTTCTAAACAGCCAGGCCTAGACCCAGTCCTGATCTGTGAAATGAAACCACTACTATACTCATCTAGAGGCGGGGAGGTAGTTGGGCAACACGGTGCCTTAGCAGAAGCAGCCTTGGCTCACATAAAAAAGGGGTGTTCGTGCCACTCCACCCAGCCGAGACCACATATAGCATAGCCCATGTGTGTCCAGATGAGGAAGGCAAATGGGTACCCAAATATAACAATAAACACAATACATGTACAGCAGCGGCAGTAGCAGTGCCAGCAACATCGGCAGCACCAAAACGGTGCGATACTAGCATCAAGTTAACGTCAACCAAGAGCCCCAAAGTGTACTGCCAATACAAGTACAACTCACCTCATCTCCAGTCAACGCATACATTGACAGACATGCTCCAACGAAGCGAATGTTCATCTCAAACATAGATACGTCGCCCCCCTGTGAGCCAACAGCAACAAAAACGAAACAAAAAAACAACATGATGACACGACAAAGGAATACATAACTCATGAAGGATTCTTCAATCATGGCCATCAACTTCTCATTCTCTTTCTTGCAGTGCAGCCAGTCTTTTGACCCGAGTGCCCGGGAATACCGGAGGTGTTTTGCATCTAGGCCAATGTAAAAATGTAAAATGACAAAGTGAGCTCAAACCATGCCACCACGAGTCTTCAACAGCTTCAAATCTTGACTTGAAACAAGACTCCCAGAAATCCTTACCACTTTGTTGTAATCTAGATTCTGCTTGACCCATGCGCGGCCCTTGTTATACTCGTCCATGAAGCCAGCAATGTACAGTGTGTCCAGTGCATCCACCAAGCTGGCACCAAGATGAGAATTGCCGAACATTCCCTGGCCGTCCGAACCAGACTTTCCCGTAGCGGAGAGTTCATTGTAGCCCCATGCATGCTTCTCATAGCTATCCCAGGCATGTTTGATCATCTGAACAACAACGACGACGACGACAGCAACAACAACAACAACAACAACAACAACAACAACAACAACAACAACAACAACAACAACAACAACAACAACAACAACAACAGTCAACAACAACAACAATCTCATATTGGCGATGGTGCCATCGTGAGAATAAAGAATTCAAAAACAACAACAACAACAACAACAACAACAACAACAACAACAACAACAACAACAACAACACATGGTTGATACATCAGGTGCAGATAAAGAAGGCGCACACAATGCTGAATTTCTAAGACTGTGCAACAATTCGTAAGTGTTGTCTATTGCGCACCTGGCTCATAACTGCTTGAGCAGAATACATTACATAGCATGGTGCTCGCCCAGCCAACACTACCACTACACTTACAGCCCAGTGTTTGCAGCACCGAGGCTTTGCAGCCCCCTCCCCTGGTGCTACTTTTTAGTCAGTAGGGCACCGGCTAGCACTGTAACAGAGACATGATGGCACATTGCGCAGCTGGCAAGTGTAGTTTGCATGGAACTATACAGGTGTGCACATGCACACAAGTGTCATGACCCGGATCATACTCGTCGTGAAAGCGACCACGCATTGAGTCCAGCAGCCAAAGCTAGACTCCGAAATATTCCTGAGTTCTGTAAGAACCATGATTAGTCCTGCAAAGGATTTGGCACTTTCTTTAGTTGAGCAATCATGGCTTACAACTCGTGGCCTAGAGTCGCAAAGTGTTGTTGTACGTCGGCAACACCTTCAGTACAAGTCGTCAGCATTGTACTCACTACACCGTTGAGCTTGAGGGGGCCACGCTTAGTCCTGCAAGGGAGCTGATACCTTTGTTAGTTGAGCAAGAGTGGCGCCTCTTCTCGTGTCGTAAGACGCAAAGGGTCAACAGTACTTCGCGTACTCTAGACCCCAGGCCCGTTGGAGGGAACACGGCATTGCCGTCTGCTGCTATGTTTGGGGGAAGAGCCCATATTTGGTGAACCGAAGGACGTAACTACGCTTCCCTCCTGTACTGCTGCAATTCATCCCAGCCACCGGATCGCGGACCAAGATCATGCCAGCATTTGGAGATCACTGATATTCACATTTGGGTGAGCGAGCTCCCCGTATTGATTGATCTTTGTACTATATTCTAGTTTGGCCGATTGCACATATTGCGCCACTGTTTGTAATATAGAAATAATACGCATTCTTGCCGCTGTATACTTTTGATCACATAATGTAGCATATATAAGGAGCTGTTTTGCTAACATTCATCCTCGATCCGGGGAGCTCACTACTCTCTCGATTCTCGACTCTCGGGGAGCTCACTACTCCTCCGACTCTCTCCTTCTTTGGGTCTCAGTTGACTCTTCACGCTTGATCTTTCGATTTAGCATTGCAATGGTTCAATAAACACTGTTCAAGTGGAATTAGAAACCTGTCGTTCTGTGTGAGCTAGCTAAGCAACTTGGATGGCGACTATATTGGTCGTCTACCTGGGTAGCCACTAGACTGATCTAAGCCAAGTCACAAACCCGCCAACGCGCGGCCATGACACAAGCATCACTCCACAGCACAAGGGGACACCTGGGCTTGGGGGTAGCCACTTCAATCTCCGCTGGCTGTGCACATGCGGTGCAGGGTGCTGTCCTGGACATGATAACTTACTATTGTTTCAAGTGGCACTGGATCCTCTAAAACAGTTGACACATCCATGCCCCAGGAAGCCAACTTCTTTGGCTAGACTGTACATGCACACTAGTGCACTGTGAATAACTGTCACCTAGACTTACATCCATCACTGGATACACACTATTACTAACACACACTTTACCTTTTAGTTCTGAGTGTGTGCATTGGGAGGCTGGTTGGGGGGGGGGATCAGCAGCCTGCCTCTACAGTTTTGACATTGGTATGTGGCACCGTTTACAAAAAGTCACAAAACACAACACAGTCTAACTAATACTCAATGTTGTGTCTCAACGAGACACACAACGTACATAACAGCATGACATTGCACTAACATAGGATGAAAAAAGAACACAGTCAACTCCTGATATAGCAAACAGTGATAAACACCAATGTGCACGGTAATTAGTTCGTCATACAAGTAGCCGAAGCTCTTTAGAACAGAACTGCACTCACACTATACTAGCAACACGTCATCACTGGCATGCGGCCCTTGCATTTGGTTTACATGCCCCCCCCCCCCCCCCCCCCCACCGGGCTTTTATAGACTAATATTCGGGGAAATACAGCACTACACTAGATGCTTACCTTTTTTACAAACTGCAGCTTCACTGTGTCCTCTTTACCTTTGCCTCCGTTGGACGCGGGCTGCTGCCGTTGTTGGTGCTCTTGTCTTTTCTCTTGCTCTCGTTGGCGTTCCTCTAGCTCTTCCTTCTTTCTCTCTTGCTCTTGCCTCTTTTTCTCTTCCTCTTGTGCTCGCTTTTGGTTCGCTTGCTCTTCCTCTTCCTCTCTTTGCTCCTGCTCATGTTGTTTTCTCTCTTCCTCTTCCTGTCTTTTCTCCTGCTCATGTTGTTTTCTCTCTTCCTCTTCCTGTCTTTTCTCCTGCTCTCGCTGTTTTCTCTCTTGCTCCTGATCATCTTGCTCTTCGTGATCCGTTTGCTTATTCTCCTTCCGCTCTTGCCTGAGTCGCAGATCCTCATCCTCCACGTGATCGACGGGCTCCGCACCAGTTTTCCGCTTCAGCTTTTGACCGTCACCTAGTTCCTCTTCCCGGAATTTCGGTCCACCCTGCTGACGGTGACCATCCTTTTGGTCATTCGGCATCATTGACTCATCTGGCTTCTTTGCTTCACTGGATTTTTCTGCTGCATTATTATTTTTGACGGCACCTCCCAGCAGATGTGGTGCTCGATTGAGACTGTCCTGTATACTACTCGCCTTCAAGCGCTCCCTTTGCTGGTTCAGCACCATGGAGCGTGCTCGGCCGGCAATGTGGTCCTTCCTCGCCGCATCCTTTCTGCGACTATTCTGCACGTCAAACAATATTTTAACACGCACACACAGGGCACACGTCAACATCCACAAACCACACCATGTTTTTAAAAACAAAACATTGTCACCACCAGTGGGGCCGTGGCACAGTCATTGCCTACTTGAGAAATAGGTGCAGACGTAAGCTGGATATTCAGTGTGGTGCTGAAGTCATACAGACCACGGGAATGACGGTTTAAACTCACAATGCTCATCCCAACTAGTTGATGCCCAGTTGAGTAACAACTGGTTACTAGTATCTATAACAGAGCCAACTTTGTTCTTGTAGAATGCACATCAATGCGGCAAGATTATCATTTTGCTCATTATTATAATTGTAGTGATAGCTTGCATGCTGTCCTACCGGTACGGTAGCAAGAAATTGCTCTAGAAAAGTGCGTCCGGTTGATAATTTCGGTGAGATGAGGTATTTGTAAGTCAAGCAAATGGCGCAAAATGCAAGACTTTGTCCAGGGCATAGCATATGTGCAATTCGAACAGCTGTCAAAATGACCGCACAGGCTGCGGTCAGGGCGCTAGCCGCTATGTCAAATGTCAATTTTGACCAGCGTGGCATATCGTTCATGATCAGAACTTCTCGCCTTTCTCAGCTTGCCATAACAGGGGAGTGTAAAATTCAATACTCCACTTGCGCTGTTGCCACCGGAGTTTCGTAATACGCCCGAGGATCACCTCAAAAATTTTGTGGACTCCTTCATCAGTCTTTTAGCAACAACTCAGGGTCAAGTTTTTAGGTTATAATGTATGTCTGTGTATGATGATGGCCGTTCGACGACAGGCAGGCTATCACTAAACACATGGTGTACAGTGTGTCTACGTACATACCCGGTATGTACATCATGCCATGCAGACTCAACAATCCCGCACCACTGCACCGGGTCTGTACCATAGCATAACGACCGGCACACTGGGACTACTGAGGCACACGTACACGTAGTGCGAATGCAACGATCTCAGTTAAAAGCTTTCAGACTCGGTCGATCGTAGCCGTGCCTATCCACCCACTGCATCTAGCTGTCTACGCGGCTCGCACCCTTCCCCTCAAACACCCAGACCCAAACTGAAGTAAGCCGGGTAAGCCCAGGTAGAGTGTGCGCACACGTACACGGCATGCATGTAAACCAGGCCGTGCCAGAGACTGAGGGAGTCGATCGCAGCCGCTGACTAGCTTATAAAAAAAAGCTGTGTTTTTGTTCTTTGACTATGATTTTCTGCATTTTCCGGAGCCTCACGTGCACGAGATGCCCAAATTCGCTTTATTTCACATAAATTTTCAAAATTTTTCCCACGGGAGGCCCCTGGACCCCCCCCCCCCTCCAAAGGTCGGTCCCCGGACCACTGTCGGACATCCTGGTATTTCCATCCATCGAAGCAGAACACATCTCGTCCAGCATCTACAACGGTCCCCCGCCACTTTCAAACAACACCCAAGCCCCACATAACACTATCGCAGATACATTCACGATGTACGTGTATGAATCATGATCTTCAGGTCAGAGAATCCCATTCGGTTTGCGCCATCGCTCTGTGCACATACACATGCACGGTCCCAGACGATTGCATACCAACGGTGTGGCATCATGACACCGGTATGGGACAAGACAGGCGCGTAGCACCGCCGTTGGAGGTGGGTCCGGGGGGGGGGGGGGGGGGGGGTTACCCCGGGAAATTTTTGAAATGGGATGCAAAATCTGCATTCTGGGCAATTTTGGCACCGTGTTAAAAAAAGTGGTCCGGCTGCTACGCCCCTGCAAGATAATCCCCGGCATGAGAATGATTTACTAGTGTGTGTTCTGCAGAGGTGCCTCTATCCAGTCGTGTAATTTGTTGGCCATACAATGTATTACAATTTTAAATTGTTGGACTGAAGTCGCTAGTATATTATAGTGTAGTACAAGCACAGTCCATAAAGGCATAAACAGTGTTGATGCCATAAACAATACTGTAAAACCGGAAAGTCTAACGAGTCACAAAGTCTAACGTTTTAACGACCAATTGTTTTTCGTTATTTGAAGAAGCGTTATCGCGAACCCGGTTCAAGATCCTGATGTCTGTGTAATAATACGTATACAGTAGATGAGATATTGAATATTTATTTATGATACTTTCGGACCGTGACGGAGTGAGCCTATAATTATTATATGCCTAATCAGCAGCTAGTGGCTTCAGCCCGGGGATACCACGAGCCACAGAGTCGAGCACGGCTGAAATGCCGGACAGCAGACACGGTGGTGGACGACTCACCAGTAGATTGAGACCGGACCCATCTGACAGCCGTTTAGATCTAGCCGAGTAGCTTTGGTAGCACAGCAGAGATAATGGAACGAACACCAGCGCCAGGATCATTAGTTTGCCCTTCGATAACGAGCCAAACCGTCCCATTTTTTCGTGCACCGCTTTATCAAACAAATACACACTTCAGATTCAGAACGCTCCGAGCTAAACTTTAGCAAGGAACAACCTTCTTCAAGATGTCACTGTCAAGGTCACTGGGAATAGAAGGCTTCAGGATGAACAAGAAGCCAGCTCGATGCTCACCGGTACGGTGTGGCTTGTACAACAACGAACGAAGTCTGAAGTCAAGAGTTGTATTGGTGACGATACAAGACTGATTAGTAAAGCGTGGGATCCCTGATCCTGACCTGGGCAAGCGGACGATTTCTTGCAGGGTCAGGTGTTACACTGTATCATTCATGAGGTAGCTGCTAGTGCGAGCTAGCTAGCACACTCGACTGTACTGACTGTCTGTCTGTCTGTCTGTGTGTAGCGGACACGGCCCTACATGCATAGTAGGAGTTGTGACTCGTGACCAGATACACACGTGCACAGACTGTCAGTCTAGTCTGTACTAGCTGTAGTCAGTCCTGCTCTGCTGAAATCCTGTGCACAGAAAAATGGATTTGAGCTTCCCGAGGTTGCACAATCAATGCTCATGGCCATAAACAATTTGCAACCAATGGTTCGCCTTCACGGAAGAGTGAGTCAGTCGCAAGTGTGCTCATTTCTGCTTCTTGGCGTATCTGAGCAGCAAGCAGGCTGCATGTGGCTTTGAGTTTGAGTTTGAACGTGGCAGGTGGTGGCATGCAGAGCAACACGCGCAACCACCGTCATCGATCGATGAACGCGCGTATCCTGAACTGAAGTGAAGGCTGAAGTAGCTTCTGTGAAGTGAAGAAGGTGTGGGCCCTGTTGAATGAAAATATTCAGCTCGATATGTGGATGCTCGTTGAGAACTCTGCTTCAGCTAGTCCGACAGGTAACCCCCGTCGCCCATCGTTTACACTGTAAACAGCAATAGCAGTAAACATAGTGCCCGACCAAGTAATTAGTTGATGTTCACCAGTTAGTTACTCTTGATTGTATGGGTTCATTCACTTCATTGTATTACAGTGTATCATGAGTTTGAAGCTGACATCTGCTTGAATTGTGCTGAAACTACTACTTATTTACTGATCAAGGTGACGACAGAGCTAATGGCTTTACTGCCCTTGCACTCGACCAATGGAAAAGCGGGCCCTGGATTGGGCACGCGAAAAGTTCGTGAAAAGGCTTTACTCCTCTTCATTTTCGCCTGCTTTGTGCTGATTTGTTTCGGTGCTTTGAACTTCGCTCCTGAGTCTTGGGACAAGGGGAATGCTGGCATCTCGCTATCATCCATACAAACCAATAGGCCATACCATGTGGAGGTACTGGCGAGACCAGATCAGATTCTCGCCCGCATACGCAACCATGTCAAAGCTGATGTAGCTGATGTAGGTGATGTCGATAGTGTGACAGATGCGGTCACGACCAGTAAGGCGACACTAAAATACTTGGACATCGATGTATCATCCCTGGATAAGAGCAGTCCACAATATCGACGGCTCTTTGTAAAGAAGGTAATGAAATTGGGAAAGTCTTATTGTAAATTTTAAGTTTTCAACACTTTTCATGAGTATTTAAAATTCAAAGACCGTTTAACGTTTGCACAGAACTTGTGACATCATCGTCAGGTCTTTGGCAGGAGAACAGTTTCAGGGCAGGAGGAAGGAGTTCGGAGTGGTCCGGCCGACCTTTGAGGGGGGTCCGGGACCCCCCCCCGGAGTCAGAGAACACAAACACAACTTATTTTTATTCCCGTAGCTATGCAAAAGACGTTACTTCAGTAACGTCTGGCGCTAGCCAGGGTCAACAAAGCTTTAATTCGGTGTTTGTTTGTGCCATGCCTGGCGCTATCCCGTACCTGTCCCGTACCGTACCAGCAAAGACAGCTGGCCACAAACAACTGGCCGCAGTATTCAAATAGGGCTTTCAAATGCAAGATCATAACGTGAAGCAACTTGGAAGAATGAATATGTACCGGTATGCGAAGTGTATCGGGGAAATGCATGCAGGGCGATAGTGCGGGTGCGAATCCCAGGTTATGTCAGAAAAATAAAAATAGGAGAAATGAAAAATTTATAACATCCCTATGCTTTTTTTGCTTAGGTCATCAAGGTGGTAGAATAGGGTGTAGAATGCATGGCAAGACCGAAGCCAGTGGTACTACCGGTAGTGGTGATTGGTAATGTGTTTGGATTCTTCAGGCAGTCTCGGAGAAATGAAGCGGCCGTAACTGATGCACGTAGAGAGAAGAGGAAGTGCGATGTCATGTAGCGGGGCGTTTCCTGCGTTGCTTCAGTAACTCTTGACATTAGGCTAACCATGCACTGATATGGTGACTCTGGTCGTCCCCCGCACCCACACTGCCCCACACCCCTTTGAGTTTCAGTTCAACGTTTCAAACTAGACTGTGAGTGCGGCTGGAAATCCAGTAAGGGGCCAGCTGACGGCCATCTTGTCTATGTACATGTGTGTATGAGTGCAGGATCGCACGGCGTCTTTATTGTTTTGGATGAATTGTCTGGGCCGACTCGAACGAGAAGTGGTACGATCATGGTGTAATGCCCCTGGCTAAGATCAGTAATGGCATTTAGGTTGCGGAAGATTCATGTCAGCCTTTCACTCTGTAGGCACATTGGTTTAACACTGGTTACAATCCGGAATCCATTCTGTCCAGAGCCAGTTTAAAGGGGAAGTTAAGGCAAAAATCAAAATTTCACCAGTTGTAGTCTTCGGGGAGCTGAGTCGAATGGTCGTGGTCCGAGGAAGCTGAGACGCTCCCTTCCTACTTTAATCCCAATCGAACTCGCGCACTTCCACCGAAACTGGGTGACTGCGCCCTACTAGATGGGGATTTGTATGCAAAATGTCACTAAAAGCGCCATTTCGTTCTTATAAAAGCACGGATGACCGCGATTGGCCCATATGTTGTAGTCTTTTGGACGCTGAGTCGACTGGTTTTGGTCCGAAAAGGCTGCGATGCAGCGTTCCTCCTTTATTCCCAATCGAACATGGTTGAACAAGTGGTCACGTGCTCCTGAGTACACCAGTCACCTGGTCACCGTGCCTGCAGGGTACAACTTACTAGCCTGTTTGACCTTTTTTGGGTGCACTCCTGTCACTCGAGTTGAACCTCGGTGTGAAAGTTGTCGCCTGCTGGCGTGGTGACCAGGTGATTTGGGCACCCAGGAGCACGTGACCGCTTGTTCAACCATGTTCGATTGGGAATAAAGGAGGAATGCTGCATCGCAGCCTTTTCGGACCAAAACCAATCGACTCAGCGTCCAAAAGACTACAACATATTGGCCAATCGCGGTCATCCGTGCTCTTATAAGAACGAATATGGCGCTTTTTGTGACATTTTGCATACAAATCCCCATCTAGTAGGGCGCAGTCACCCAGTTTCGGTGGAAGTGCGCGAGTTCGATTGGGATTCAAGTAGGAAGGGAGCGTCTTAGCTTTCTCGGACCGAGACCATTCGACTCAGCACCCCGAAGACTACAACTGGTGAAATTTTGATTTTTGCCTTAACTTCCCCATTAAAGGCACCAGCCGCACTGTGCACAGCTGTGGAGGGGAATATCACTGGGAAGGGCATTCCAAAGCGTGCTTCCCATAAATGTCAATGACTGACAACCGCAAGGTCCAGGAAGGAAAGGCACTTGCAGTAGCCACTGTTCCTGTCCTCGAGTAATTCGGTGATCATCCCGGGTTGCGTGTCCTGTACTAGCCGTCAACTGAAAGTAGGTGCAGAAAAGAGGGCTTGCAAGATCATGTAGCCAACGGAAAACAAAAAAACACAGAACCTTGTAGTGAAAAATGTGAGTTAGGGATCGGATAGGTAAGCTCATGAGAAGGGGGGGGGGGCTGGAGAGTCGGAAAATTACACGAAGAGATGCCGGATTTGAGTGACTGGCCGATCCAGTCGTATTTGTAATACATGTACATGTACAGTGTTGCTCAATGAAATCTGGTCATGTGAGTCAGTGTAGCACCGTACGCTCTACAGCCTGTGAACACTGGCCTGTACACTGGACTGTACACTGGGCTGTGCACTGATGCAGGGCGCTAACTTGACTCACACCATTGGATTCCACTAAGCAGCACTATACATGTATTATGTATGTTCCGTATGACACAGTCCGCAACAGTGCTACTTCGTCCTTTGTGGACTCAACAGTGAAATGATTGGAAACGATGCCGAACCTGGTGGCAATAAAAAGTATTTTGAAGCAAAAAAAACCAGAGTGTGCAACGCCTCTTCCAGCTCTGCATAGGGTCTTGGTCGAGCGTAATCGGATCTTTGCGTCATTATACCGTACACATCTGAGGGGAACCCGGGGAGTCGCGGGTACTCTCTGATCAAAAACAACAGTGCCCTGCCTCGAGACCAGGCTTGCGCTGGTGTGGAGTGTACGCATGACATCAGAAGATCCGATTCCGCTCGACCAAGACCCTATGCAGAACTGGATCGGCGTTGCACAATCTGGGGGGGGGGGGGGGGGGGGTTATGTACTCTTGGTGACAGTATACAGTCCATTTCAAAACTATAGACGCGTACCTAGGCAAAAACCGTTATGCCAGCATCTATACCGCATAAAATCTGTGATCACTTTGTGCATATTTTTTTCCAAATTGGGCGTCTGTTATCCAATCCTTTAGAAACTATATGAGAGTAATTGTGGAGCGATCCTGAGCAATATTCCGAAAACTATTCTCAAAAAGTTCCAGCCAAATTTGAAATATTTCAAAAACCCTACGCGTCTATAGTTTTGAAATGCACTGTAAGCTTTACACATTGTATGTAGAGTCCATAGCAACCATAAGAAATGAAATTCATTTCACATTTCATTTCACACAATAATTTGATAACCGCAAACTATAAGACAAGCTGAATCGACATTTGTGTATACTTTGTTCATGCAATGTAAAACGGTGGAGACAATGTGCAATAAAACGATGAAAATAGGAAGAAATAGTGTATCGTAATTCCGCGCATATAAGCCCACGGGCCTATATCCGGATCTAAGCCCACCTCCGTTTATAAGCCCATGGGCTAATAAGCAGACACAAATGCAACTCGCGTGTCAAGTAGAATTTTTCACAAAATGGACTCTTCCTACCATGATACAGCAGGTCAGTGCAGTTTACCAGTAGAGTATGGTAGAACCACTATGAGCACGGACTTGTACTTTTTCGTGAACCTTCAAAATTCGAATATTGGCCCATGGACTAAAAAACGAACATGTTTTACTGGATATTTTATCCCCAAACTGCATTATTTCATAGTTAAGCCCATGGGCTTATATGCGCGGAATTGCGGTAGAGAAAAATTAGGATTCAAACAAGTTTTCGTACAACACTCATCAGGAATCGTCGTTGTACTAAAGGACACTGAAACGAAATTGAACTACCGTACTCGCGCGATTAGAGCCCTCTCTTGAATAGTGCCCTATCTCGAATAGTGCCCTAGTCTCCAAGAGCCAGTGAAAAATAAAGCCCTCTCTTGAATAGTGCCCCCCCCCCCCCGGTCTTGTAACCAAGCCCATGTGCACGTTTGGTGTTCTTTTGCTAATGTTCTTGGCCATTGCTTTGCACTGGTGTTTTCAGGAACAAAATCGCAGGTCTTGTTCCCGTTTCTGTGGAGTCGTGAGTGTTTACAGTACACTTTAGGCTCTGTTTTTCTTTGTTTTATGCTGGATGATGCAAATGTACCAGCAATGAAAAAATAGTGCCCTCTCTTGAATACTGCCCCATCTGTGATGGACATTGAAAAAATAGTGCCCCAGGGGCACTAATCGCGCGAGTACGGTACTGTATTATAGAAAGCCGAAGTTAGAGAAATAACACCAAGAACAACAGCAGTGAAATTTACAAGTGTGAATTTTAGCAATGAAAGCAAGAGCAAACATGAATGCGTGTGCTAACAATAAACCGTTTTACATTGCATGAATAAAGTATACACAAATGTCGATTCAGCTTGTCTTATTGATTGCGGTTATCAAATTATTGTCTCCTCGCCGTTTGTTTAAATATTTCACACGATGTGGCTCTTTTGTCTCTTCCTCCTCTTCCTCGCCGTGGCCAACACCGCCATCATTGCATGTTTTCGTTTCTGTTTCTGTTCGGCTTGGTGTTGTGTAGATGGCGCAGCATGCTTGGCGAGGCTACGAGAAGTATGCGTGGGGCGAGAACGAGCTGAAGCCGCTGAGTCAGCGCGGACACTCTGCGTCGGTGTTCGGTGCCACGCACATGGGTGCGACCATTGTCGACTCGCTGGACACTCTCCACATCATGGAGATGACGGAGGAGTTTGAGCGGGCGAAGAAGTGGGTCACGAATGAATTGAACTTTGATCAGGTGAGTCTGAAGCGCAATTCTGCGTACATGTGTGCATGTACATATACTGCGGAATAAGGGTGGAGCAACGGCTACTGCAGTCAAGAGGACATAACCCTCAAGAGTGTGCAACTGCCTGCACAACCTCTATGCAGTGCTGCGATGGCAGAACTTCACATGACGTGACATGGTTAAAAAGGATACGCTGGCAAGCAGTGCAAAGTGACCGCAAGGGAGTTGAACCCAAAGCAGGGTTGCGTATGTATAGGGTATTACCTGAGTACGAGGGCTATATCGGCGAATACAAAACCTGAACGCCACAGGCGCGAAGGTTTTGTATGAGCTACCACAGCATTGAATTATAGTTTAACACCAAGTCTTACCTGTCTTCACGAATTCATTCGAGGTCTTCCAAGGAGACCTTCTCAAAGCGGTGTTTGTCCTGTGAAATTTCACCCGTTTCTCCTCTAGAAAACGGTACATGGGGAGTTTCGGTAGTCGAGCATTCAATCATGTCAGCAACTTCTTTATCGCTCAAGAAATGATCAAAGTTGGTGACAGTTTCTAAAACTGCGTCTTCAAATATCACAACGTTCTGATCCGGAGATGAAAAACCCATCGTTTTGATAATAATTCCAGTCAGATTTGCCGTATACACACAGGTCATTCTGAAGCTATATTCGGCGACTACCGGTGGTTTTACCATGCAACTGCTACAAAGGTACTGGGTACGGGTCGGTTGGCACCATGTACCAGCACCCGTACCTAGTATACCTGGGAAGCAGCCGTACGGTAAAACCATCGATAGGTGCCAAATGTAGCTTCAGAATGACTTGTGTGTACGGTAAATCTGACCGGGATTATTATCAATAAGCCCCGCTCAGCTAGGCCAGTATTTCCCGCTCAGATCGGTTGAACCATGGTTTCCTACCGTACCGTAGGATAAACCCCTGTCTCTTTCTATCATGCACAGGGTGCAGATAATAATGTGTACGTGTTTGTCATGTGATGTGAAGTTCTTCCATTGCAGACCCCATAGGCTTGAGTTGCACACTCTTGGGGGTTTTGTACTCTTGCTAGTATCAGTGTCACTTCTTCATTTTTCAGCCCTTGTGTAGCAAAGGAACATTTTCTATGCCTGAGCTGCGTTCATACTAGTAACTGGTGCGTGTACCCGTGAAACGGAGTGTTTGTGTGTATTTTTGCTGGCTTTTGACCCAAGCAAGTTTTGGGGTG